AAATTTTCGCATGTTTTAATATCCTATGTCCTATTCCCAAGGAAGACTAATCCAACAAACCAAAAATCACTAAAATCGGTCCAGTCGTTCTTCAGTGACTGATAAGACTGCAAACACATTTCGGTCTTACTGTTTTATATATAAAACAACGTCAATTTTCCCATTTTCCGAACAAATTTTCGCATGTTTTAATATCCTATGTCCTATTCCCAAGGAAGACTAATCCAACAAACCAAAAATCACTAAAATCGGTCCAGTCGTTCTTCAGTGACTGATAAGATTGCAAACACATTTCGGTCTTACTGTTTTATATATAAAACGACGTCAATTTTCCCATTTTCCGATCAAATTTTCGCATGTTTTTATATCCTATGTTTTATTCCCAGGGAAGACTAATCCAACAAACCAAAAATCACTAAAATCGGTCCAGTCGTTCTTCAGTGACTGATAAGACTGCAAACACATTTCGGTCTTACTGTTTTATATATAAAACAACGTCAATTTTCCCATTTTCCGAACAAATTTTCGCATGTTTTAATATCCTATGTCCTATTCCCAAGGAAGACTAACCCAACAAACCAAAAATCACTAAAATCGGTCCAGTCGTTCTTCAGTGAGTGGTAAGATTGCAAACACATTTCCGTCTTACTGTTTTATATATAAAACGACGTCAATTTTCCCATTTTCCGATCAAATTTTCGCATGTTTTGATATCCTATGTCCTATTCCCAAGGAAGACTAATCCAACAAACCAACAATCACTAAAATCTGTCCAGTCGTTCTTCAGTGACTGATAAGATTGCAAACACATTTCGGTCTTACTGTTTTATATATAAAACGACGTCAATTTTCCCATTTTCCGATCAAATTTTCGCATGTTTTTATATCCTATGTTTTATTCCCAGGGAAGACTAATCCAACAAACCAAAAATCACTAAAATCGGTCCAGTCGTTCTTCAGTGACTGATAAGATTGCAAACACATTTCCGTCTTACTGTTTTATATATATCAAAAGACGTCAATTTTCCCATTTTCCGATCAAATTTTCGCATGTTTTTATATCCTATGTTTTATTCCCAGGGAAGACTAATCCAACAGACCAAAAATCACTAAAATCGGTCCAGTCGTTCTTCAGCGATAAGACTGTCTTAAATATATAAAAAGACGTCAATTTTCCCATTTTCTGGTAAAATTTACCATTTATTCAATTAATAATTCTAATAAGTTCGCGATAGTCGATAAATAATTTTTTTATGATACGTTCTCCCCAAAATACTTCAAGCCGGGCCCCACGTTGTTGATACTTCACGCGGTTCTTTTCACATTTGCTTACGTTTATTAATAATAATTCATTTATTATCCACAGTCAAGCAACGTCCTCTCCGTAACCTCTCGAAAACTTCGCTCGTTAATAAAAACGTCCATATTCCACATTTTCAAACTGTTTTCCCTATTTATTTCAATTTTTTCTCATCAAACATACTGATAACTACGTATTTTTCTAATTAGAAAAAAATTAGGAATTTATTGGTGCAAAGAAATATTATACATTCCATTTCTGTACCTGAGAGCCAAACTGTATTAACTCCATTTTTTTTCAAATCGGTATTAAGTTCTCTTCCTACTAAACGAGATTCGCTTTTTCACATGGAATATAGTATTAAGTCCTATATAATCTACTTTTGAAGTTGGCCAAAGTTAAACAGTATTATATCAATAACCTTTTCCGAGCAAAATAGTATTATGGAGTTAATATTGTTAAAGAAACTTACATGTGTGGACATAGTACAGTTTTCAGTGCGTTGATGTTGTGTAGAAGTGCACGTGTGTTTATTACTCTGCGAAAAAATGGCAAATAAGTCAAGAAAAATATTGGAAGTCGCTTTTTTACACCGTGCAATCATTAAAAATAATAAATAAATAATTTCAGAATACATTAGTATTTTATTGTCCATATTAACTCCATTTTCATTTTTCAAAAAAGTATTTAATACAGTTTGTCATTCGAAGTATTAGGGCCAAATGGTATTAACTCCATTTAATTGACTTTTTAATAACTTTCTTTGGCAAAAATAATGAACATTTTTGAAAATTAGAAAAGGGAAAATTTAAGGACATCCACATTTTATTTTTGAGTTTAATTTCTTTTTTAATAGTTATTAAATAAATATTTTGTATTAATTTTAATGTCTTATAAATTTTCAAATCGCTCTGCTGTAAAAATGTAATTTTTTTGAGCAAATACAGTTTGGCTTTCAGGTACAGATTTGAAAAAACATTAATGCTGTATATCATAAAAAGCAGGATAAAAAGTAAGCAGGCTATGGAAGATATAAAATATCCCCTTACTCAGTCAGAGACTATTTTTACATAACTTTTATTCTTTCTACTTTTTTGATACTGTATTTTTGGATTACAGTAGCAATACAAACTCCACATTTTTTTTATCAAGTTACTAAATTAACTGTTAATCTGGATAGATTTGGAATGAATATTTTTATATTTTTTGGTCTATTGATCTTCTGCATTACTACTTCAATACCATCGTATGGCCTACATACATTACTTCATTCATAAGAAATTTGCATTTAAATTTATTGAAGTTGACCCTTTATACTTTGGCACGGTTGAGGACCTATTCAAAGTTTCATTGTGACTTTCAATTGATTTTCCGTAAATAATTAATTTTGACACCAGATATACCCTCAAAGGTATCTGTTGGCATGAAAAATTTCTGGTGGTTTATAGTTCACTCAAAGATAATCCGTCAACAAAACCAAAATATATAATGTATCATACATTTTACAACCCTCTCAATCGAGGATCGTGAATTTCTAGAAAATTACGTGAGTTTAAAACGAGTAGGAAATTTACTCTTACAGGGACAATTGCAATGTTACTCATAAATTATTCCAACATAATGTATCAAAGAAGTAAAAGTGTCAGGTGTATTACAAAAGTTTCAACCCCTAAGGTCGCGGATTGCTATACATGTACAAGAAAGTTTTCTAATATAAATACATGTAATTTGCAAACGGTTTGGGCATTCATTTTTCAAACGCAATAGGAGGGTTCTTTGTAAACCATTTAAACATAATGGATGAATAAGAAACAGAAATATTTAAAGTACCACAAAACCCTATAATTGAGGATTGATATACACGTGAGAGAGAAATTCTAAAAAAATGAATTCAAGTTGGAGTGAAGTAATGGAAATTGACTGTCAACTCAAGCCAAGTATTTATATTTATTTTATACATATGTTACATTGACGTTTTCAATGAGTAGGCTAAGTAGATAAATAGATAGATGACATCTGTATTTCTTATTTCAAATGGGATGCGGAGCACGATATAAAATGACGTTTACAACATATGGCAAGTTTCTATAAAAACGTACGCGACGGTAGAACCTAAGCTTACTATTTTCGACGTCTAAATTAAATTGAGAACTGAATTATCATTTACATAAACACTACGTTTTGCTTAGTAACTAGAATTCACTATGTGAACCAGAAGAATGTTAGACATAAATCAATCGATTTTCATTGCAGCATTTCTATAAAATTCTGATAAGATTTTAGGATATGGAGAGAAAAAGATGATCACATTAACACATTCAGTCCAAGTGCGCCGTTTCACATCCGACTTACTGCGAGTGTTGAAAGGGCAGTCGCTACAAAGGGTCTCCTTCGTTAACTTCCCGGCAGCTTACGAAAAGGTTTTTCATAAGACTTTCAAGCCCGCCGAGTATGGGCTGTGCGACCTGGAAGATCTACTGGCGGAAATTCCCGATGGAACCGTAACTGTGGACGAAGTGAACACCATCGCTATACCAAAACGGGAGCAGACCGCCGAACAAGTTGAGCGCACAAACCAGTTCAGATCCGAGGTTTGCCCATATCAACATTACTTAAACTTACTTGGCAATTGCAGATAGAGGAATTTTTGTGTCAGTCGCCGTACTGCTCCATACTATTCGATAAGTTCATACCGGCCTATCACAGACACTTTGCGCGTCAGTGCAAGGTCTCGGATTATGGTTTCACAAAGCTCGTGGAACTGTTCGAGGCCATTCCAGAGACGGTCGAGGTAAGTTCGGTCCCGTGGTACTTTGCCGTAATGTTTCTAACAGGTGGAGGAAGTGTCTGACACAGAACGTAGAGTGAAATTGAAGCTTCAGACCGCTTTGGAAGTCCTCGGTGGACAAATACGTTCCTTAATCTTGCAGTCTAATTTCTCTACCATTCTAATTAGTGAAATGGTCGATGTGTTTAAACAAACGCACGGGTATACTTTGAAAGCTCTGCCTTACCAATGTCAAGACTTGACAGAGTTAGTACTCAAACTAGACGATTTTATTCAGGTGAGTTGCTTCACGAGATTGAAGAAGAATTACAGGTGTCGTTGCAGGTCACTTACAGCAGATCAGCACCTCTGCTCAGTGTCGTAAACGTGGATAACCAAGTGTTGGAGATCCGAACTTGGACACTACTGAGACACCCCCCCTACAAATGTGGCCTGAGCAAATTTAAATATGAGTATCGCATAAGATTTTTGACTAACGCACCGATTCGTCAGCTGAAGGGCCTTACAGCAGCTGTTCGGGTACGGTCTGAGGTTATCTGCAATTAATTTTACCACGTTTGTAGATATCACAAGAGAATGATCAGCAAATCATTTCTCTGGGTCCTCTACACATTTTATGTGCTCAGTTATACCAAATACTGTACCGACGAAATGGGTCGGTTGAGCTGAATAAGATACCCGATTTATATTTCAAAGAGTACGGATCCGTTTTATCCGCGAGACGGTACAAAGTGAACTCTTTCGATAATTTGTTTCGACAAATTAAGTTTTTAGTTAACTTCCAAAAGAATGGCAACAAAACTTTCTTAGTACTAAATAAAAATCTGAGGAGTAAGTACTGGAGTAACCGTCGATTTGCTTACGTAACATTCTAGACTTTGGGGTTCCTGTACCAAGCGTGCCAAAGCAATCCGAACCTTGGCCACCATTACCCGCTCACGTTCATTTAAGCAACTTCATACACCGAGCGCCCCCAAAACCGGACACTCCACCACCTGAGGTACGCTACAATCGCGCATACCTCTATCCAGGGCCGGATTTACCATAAGGCCGTGCGGCAAATTTTTAGGGACGGAAAAAAACAAATTTGGGAAATAATTCTACAGTACTATCGTGGAAAAATCCCATTTCGACAAAATTATGTGAACTTTGTATTAAGAATGTGGAAAATTTGGAGCTTCTCCCGCAATTTTTCTTGTCGAAAACGCTTAATTGCCCTCTAGTCCATTTTTATCAATTTCATGATTGTACCAGGGGGGATTGACCCATTAATAACATCACGTAACCGTTTAAGCGTGAGGGTAGATAAAGTGATCGATCACTTTAACCGCTAGGGTAGATAAAATGAAACAGATGACTGTGCATTCTAATGACATTATTTTCATTCTTATTTCGAATATCAGCTCCATGATCACCTCCTGTTGGTGTAATGATGCGGAAATATTAATTAAAAACGAGTAAATTTCTCTAAAAAGTATCCCATAGGCGCAAAATATGTAGATTCGGCCCTGTCTATATCAACGTATGTTTTTTAGGGGAGCTGGAATCCCGCTTCGAATTATCCAAATGAAGACGTCGAGCCTTTCCACGTTTACCTGCCCGAATTAGAGCAGCCAAAGTGCGACGTTAACGACGGATTAATTTCGCCATCGGCTTTCGGTGTATTTTTTCCTTCGCAGCCCACTAAAAAGTACTGCGGTACCACCGAGTTTACTTCGGGAAAGAACGCCTTCCTAGATGATTCCGGTTACGGTGGATTTAGTAGTTTCGGTCGAGAAAGTCCGATCAATTCGGCGAACATCCCGTAAAGGGGGTGAACCTTCCAATGATTTTATTACTGTGATTTTTTAGGTATATGTTTGTGTCATATCATAAGTGTTATTTTATGAAAATGTAAACTATTATTGTAATTTATGTACGCATTTTGTATGATGCTCTTTTTAATGTTTTTGCACATTTATGAATAGAATTTATAATATTATCAAATAAATAAAGATGTTACCTTATTTCTTCAGTGGATTTATTCTAGCCTAAAATTACCGTAACCCGTCTACCATATCCTCCTGCACTCCTGCTTTCATAACTTTTGTGTTGTTCTTATTAATTCTTAGACCATTCTTTGTTTTCATTTCATCTATCTTTTCCAACAATATCTCAAAGTTCTTTTTCACTCTCAGCAAATACAATCATGTCATCCGCAAACCGTTAGTAAACAATCCTCTTCCCTCCGACCTTCATACCATATTTTCCCCTTTCCAATACATTTCCGCCATGTCTTTTACATAAAAGTTAAGCAGAGTATGTCATAAACAGCATCCCTGTCTAACTCCTCTTCCGATATCAAACCAATCACCCTTTTTATAGCCAACCCTGTCACATTCTATAAGAACATTTTTTTTCCGGGCCGATCTGAGACAATTTTTTTTTCGGGGCTCAAAAAAAGGCATGTATAACCTTCCTTCTTTACCAAAAATCGACTGCACCAATATTTCTCGGGAAAACACTTTTTCTTATTAATTTTGGTGCGTAGAATCCAAAACAATTCGTACGTACTTTTTCGATCAGACTTCTCAATCAAAAGTTATAGACTAGAAACCAATTTCGAAAGAAAATTCAAAGGGCTGTAACTTTTGAACTAGTAGCCCAATCTTGGAACTGTTTGAAATTATGGATTCTACAGGCCACATTCTATAAGAAAATTTTTTTCCGGGTCGATCTGAGACAATTTTTTTTTCGGGGCTCAAAAAAAGGCAGTGTATAACCTTCCTTTTTTACCAAAAATCGACTGCACCAAAATTTCTCGGGAAAACACTTTTTCCTATTAATTTCGGTGCGTAGAATCCAAAACGATTCGTACTTTTTCGACCAGACTTCTCAATCAAAAGTTATGGACTAGAAACCAATTTCGAAAAAAAATTCAAAGGACTGTAACTTTTAAACTAGTAGCCCAATCTTGGAACTGTTTAAAGTTATGGATTCTACAGGCCACATTATATAGGAAAATTTTTTTTCCGGGTCGATGTGAGACAATTTTGTTTCGGGCTTCAAAAATACACGGACAAACGGATGGTCAAAAATGGATCTGTTCCAAAATCGCTATAGGATTAATTTCAGAAAGGCGTGAACTGCAACAACAAAAATGTGCGAAATAATCAAATTCGCAGAGTTGCTAATGTATGGGGGTAAGCTGGTCGATAAATTCTGCAATCCCGCACCATTTACGTACGGGATTAATTAATCACGCAAGAAGACTGCGGGATCCCGGTATTTCGGGATCCCGCGATCCCGGTATTGCATTCCCTAATTGGCATTGATCCAGTCACAGGCGTAACTAAGGTATGGCAGGCATGGCGCGTGCCATGGGTACCATTCGAGGGAGGCGCGAAAAAGGCGTAGGTATTTGTAGATATAAATATTTAAAAGACTTTGAGAGTGGGACATTATTATTTATGAGTAACACTTTTGTTAAATGACCCCCTATATCGATGGACGGTCGGAGGGGGACGCAAGATCGATGTTTGCCATAGGGGCCATTTACCCACAATAAGCCCCTGGATCCAGTACATCCAAATTGTACTGTATGTGGGAAAAAAAACAAAATTTTGATTGTATAAATTTTAATGCATGGCGGCGGAACGAGTAGTTCTACTGTAATAGTGTAGTAGTTGCAACGTACAATCAGTCTTTCCACCTACCTGTAGACTTCCGGTCATACTATAGGAACTACTACGGCATAAATGATCTACCTACTACTTTTTTGCTCCAAATTATTAATTACTTTTTGAAAGCTTATCTATACATTATAGTAGTGCCATATGATCATATTAAACTATAATAATTTTCAATGGATTTGCGAGGCACACTACATAATAAAATGAACAGACAAATTTGTGCATGTGATCGTTTAATGAAGTTCCCTATAAAACATTATTGGTTCCCAACAGATTTTAAATCACGGCATTCACAAGTTATCTACTTTAGTTAAATCACACTTATATTAGATGCAACAGCAATTACACTGCGAGAAATACAACTTAATCTATCACTAATCATTAATATCATAGTCTTCCATACATTTACTAAGCATCCACCACCGATCTAAGAATCCAATATCGATAATATGATACCTCCAATCGAAATAAGACATTTTCAAGTGTTTACATATGGCCTCAGAATTCTTACAAGAGGCACTATAATAATCGACCCATATAATCGATGCGACACCGAAATTGAATCTTCTCACAACACCACTATTAAAGTAACCCTCGATTTGTTTCAGAGTTGAAGCGGTTTGTGTCTTTTGCATGCTCGGATGAACAAGTAACAGTTCATTTGCAGACCTACAAAGATAAGTCAATGGCTGTTAGAATTAATCCGTTACCTCACTTTACGAAGGTGTCACGATAATCAATGAAGTTAGGATTGTGCTTGACACAGTATGTTAGAGAACCTATGATTGTTAGGGTGCAAACGGCTTTGATTGGCTTTTCACGTATGTCTTTTCGAACGTCGATCACTACTTCTCTATAATCGTTGAACACATTTTTCCAGTATCTTATCCAGTTTTCAAACATGGTCCCTTTTGATTTTTCTTCAAGTCTAAGGGCCGCATTTTTGGTGGACTCGATGGTTTTCGCATTAAAACTTTTTAAATTTGTAATAATGTTTAGATTTCGAAAAAAATTGGACATCTTGCAAGGATGAGGAAAAGTGAGGTTAGAATGACATAGTTTATTTTACATTACAAAAATCACTGAAAAAATTACTTCTTAACGACTTGTATAACATCCTCATCTTGCATAATATGCGAAATACCGACGCGTTGAGGAGAATACTTGGTGCTGGTCCCCCAAACCAATGCGTACTTAAATGCTTCAGCCAAATTCCTATGAATCACATGACATACGTGCTCAACACTCGCACCTCTTCTTAATATAAGGCCATCACTAAAATCGGGAGGCTGCCCGGGTTTCTTAGTATACACACGTATCAGAGCCAGATACTCCCACAATGTTTCTAACAAGTAATCTAAATTCAACTTCATATTGCAACTAACTACGACACTATGCGGTTGTCGTGCAATTCGATCAACTTCCTCAATGGAAATTTGATCGATTTTATTATAAACATACAGACAAGGCAGGTAGACTCGATTGGCACAAATGACGTCAATTAATTCGTCGGCGGTGCAATCCTCACGAAACAGAACTTCGGCATTAAAGATTTTGTATTCGTGCAAGATCATCTGAACTAACTTTTCGTCGATCCTCGTGAGATTGCAAGTCGAATTAAACGAGAGACCGCCGCCTTTCTTAATTTTGAAGTAAATGTTCGGTTTCTGTTTGTTCAACCGAATCCCTACACTTTCCAACTCCTTCTCCAGTAACTGCCGCTGGATATCCTGCTTGGTCGCGTCGAGCATCATCAGAACTAGATCGGCGGTACGAGCCACCGCAATAACTTGCCTACCTGCAAGATTACATGCGTCTTAAGTCGATTGCATTTCATTTACATACCTCGTCCTTTGCCCTGAGCGGCTCCTTCGATAATTCCGGGCAAGTCGAGCAATTGGATGTTGGCACCATTATAATCGATTACACCCGGTATGCACGTCAAGGTGGTAAACTCGTAAGCGGCGGTCTCACTTTCAGTTTTTGTGAGTGTCGACAGTAACGTTGACTAGCAAGTACTATTAGAACCGTTAATCGAATTGAGTTTGTACTTACTTTGCCGACGGATGGGAAACCAATAAGTGCGACTCGAGCGTCTCCACTTTTCAAGACGTCGAACCCTTCGCCTTTATCACCTTTTTTCGATGGTTCTAGTAGCTGCGATCGGTACTTTGCTAGCTTCGCCTTCAGTAAGCCTAAGTGGTATTCGGTGGCTGAAATTAATTATTAAAAAAATTCCTCCGTTGGAATAGAGACTTTTACCCTTATTTTTTTGAGTTCGTGAGATTTCTTTTTCAATTTCTGATATTTTCTCCAAAATACCCATGTTTTTTTGGTTATGTTTTGTCTCTTTTTATTTGATTGATATGATCTGGCTTAATTGATAAAGACGCACAGAGATGGCGACACACGCTAAACTTTTCAAAAAATTTGATTTCTGCAGTTTCTGATTTAGTATATTTGTTTATTAAGCAAAGATCATAACAAGCAACAATAAAAAGCATGTAAAAATCGTCAAGAGCAAATTTATGGTCTCACGCAGAAAGAACAAAAAAATTGCCCTGCAGTAATATACAGGGTGAACGTCAAAAAATTGTGTGATAAAGGGAGCCAAAGCAAATACTTTTCTCACATAAACTGGGTCTACGATATCCCGAAACTCCTACCCCGTTACAATTACTGCGGAATTGGTTTCACAATCTTTGTCTTTGAATCGGTACAAAACCAAATTGGCAACACCGATTCCTGGAACCAACAAACTTTCATTACTGACAACGTCGCATCATCCCGGATCCCCCTCTTATGTTTTTAAAAATTTGCTGATTTGTTCTAGGATCCATCCCTGTGAGAAGTCTTTTGTGTTAAAAAGTTATAAACAATTCGAATTGTGACAATCAAAAGTCGTCAGTAACAAAATGGATCGTTTACTAAGATTAGGGGGTGGAATGCCGGGACTTTCGCAGGCTCCACCACCACAGGATGCCCCGGTTGTCGATACTGCCGAACAGGTATACATTTCTTCTTTGGCTTTGCTCAAGATGTTAAAACACGGGCGTGCCGGCGTTCCCATGGAAGTTATGGGATTAATGTTGGGTAAGTGAGGTTATGAGTGGTCTATGTAAATGACAAAGCATTTTATAGGAGAATTCGTCGATGATTACACGGTTCGCGTAATCGACGTCTTTGCCATGCCCCAAACCGGCACCGGTGTCAGTGTTGAAGCCGTCGATCCGGTCTTTCAAGCGCGGATGTTGGATATGTTACGACAAACAGGCCGACCTGAAATGGTGGTCGGCTGGTATCACTCTCATCCCGGATTTGGCTGTTGGCTGTCGGGGGTAGACATCAACACCCAACAGTCATTCGAAGCGCTTTCAGAGCGGGCCGTTGCCGTAGTGGTCGATCCAATCCAGTCTGTTAAAGGGAAAGTGGTGATAGACGCTTTCAGGTAAATACTTCCGCTTTAAGCTTCTTGCAGTTAAACATCAACTTCCAGGTTAATCAATCCAAATATGATGGTATTGGGACAAGAGCCGCGACAGACTACCTCAAATTTAGGTCACTTACAAAAACCATCGGTGCAAGCTTTAATTCACGGCCTGAACCGCCACTACTACTCCATAAGCATCAATTATCGCAAGAACGAATTAGAGCAAAAAATGTTATTAAATCTCCACAAGAAATCCTGGATGGACGGTTTGACCTTAGCAGATTACAGCGAGAACTGCGGAATAAATGAAAGAACCGTTTCTGATATGTTGGATCTCGCGAAGAACTACAATAAGGCACTAGAGGAAGAGGAAAAAATGACACCCGAGCAGTTGGCAATTAAAAATGTCGGCAAGCAGGATCCGAAAAGGCATTTGGAGGAAAAGGTGGATGTGTTGATGACAAATAATATCGTTCAGTGTCTAGGAGCGATGCTCGATACTGTTGTATTCAAATAATTCTTATTAAATGTAGGCTTTTTATATAGACAGTATTTATTTCTGATCTACACGAAGCGAAGTTTTTGTAATAATCATCTATACTTTATAATAAAAGTTGCTTTTTTTTATTTCGAGGGGAATTAAGCAATTTATTTCTCTCTCGGGGCCTCTCAAGTACTTTTATAAGCTCAAATCAGTAGTATCATTGAATAAGTAATCCTAGAATTACTTATTCAAAAGTACCTAGTATTTGTAGCTACTGGGAATTCTATTTATAAGCCAGAAATCATTGAATAATAAATGACTTGTATATTCTTACAGCAAAAAATTTTGGTAATTGTTTTCCAAATGACATTAATAACATCCAGTGTCTATTCCTGGTTGTAGGACGATCCCTAGACCTTTCTTCAAAGTCACTTGTAATTTCTACTTTTTTAAGAAAAAGTTACAGCATTTTTCAACTCTAATTTTATCTGTAGTCTATTCAAAAATTCAGTGTTATTACCTACTACAATATTAAACTCATTTTCTTTAATTTGTATGTAATATATTAATCATTATAAGTGTTCTCTTCAGTGCAACAATTTCTTAATAAACTTGGTATCCATTAAGTGAGAAAGAAAGGAGGACATTTTTTAACTTTTTTTGAAAGTAGAACTAATAACTATCATTGAAGACTTAATTACACAGACCTGTCTTTCTATCAAATTCAAAATTCTTAGAATGATATCAAAATTGATCTATTCCTAAGAATTAATACAATATCAATAGGTATGTACTTCCGTAGGTTCCAGGTCTAACTTCTGTAGGCTTAATCAATTTTGCATTTGTTTTATTAGAAAAATAGAATGGATTTTATATACAAAACATAATAAGTTAGATGATAATAATGCTATAAGAGCTACAGTTACAGCCTATAACCAAAGTGTGTTCTTGTATCATAAATTGCCAGATGATTATTGTTACCTACTATAACCACAATAACAGAGGTGAAATTTGTTTACAAAAAGTCCAGCGGAGGCAACCATTTCAATCACTAACTATGACACATTTTAACATGTACATTTAAATTTATCTTCCAACGACAGCTGAAGCTACACTGCTCACATTTGAATTGTCCTATAAACGGCCCTATATTTTCAGTAGTGTTTGCTTTGCACTTTGTTTTCTTCCTCACACGACAACGTTTCTTTTTCACAGGTGGTGGCATAATTGGAGATTGCCGTCGAATGGGCTCATCAAAACCGTGGCGCATCTTTACATGCGCGATTAAGTTTACCACCCAGTTTGTGGCGAAATTGCAGTTTTCACAATTAAACTTTTGCATTCCGTGACGCTCCCTAACATGTTTAATTAAGTATCCCTCCTTCTTCGCTGCGAAGTTGCACTGGTCACAAGGAAATTCCCTCGCACTTTGTCGACCCTTTCGTACTTTAGTATTGTACTTATGACGTCCTTGTATGTGTATGGTGAGAGAGTCTTTCACTTTTGTAGTGAAGTTGCATTGGTGACACTTAAATTCTTCTGGACCTGGACTTTCATCTTTAAAAGCAGAATGATCGTTTTTAAAAGTGTGCAAAGGTAATATATTTGTTGGAGCATGAAACCCAGTTATCTCTGGTATCAGGTTTATTGTCCATTCGTCTCCAGGACTAGGGTGATCGTTTTGAGTTGTGCTTGACGATATGGTAGTGTCATCTAATTGCAGTACACCACAATTATACTCTTCCTTTATGCGCACTTCTTGTGTATGAAAGGGGTGTACTCCATAATCACCCTCTACTTCCACCTATACAATTTTTAGGTAGATTTTTCTATAAAACAACTTAGTTTTTCTTACCTCTGTCGGTTCACGTTTAATAAGTATAGGCATATTTACAGACATACCTTCTCTATTATATTTAAACTTAAACAACAATAAAATTTAATAACAAAAAACGGAAAATCAACAATAAACATTGCACGTAGGTTAAAATGTCACTATATGACCTAACAATACCTTTGAACTACAAAACGTTACATCAGAACTACAATTCCGAAACGGCGAAACCATACAAGGTGTTTTAAACGAAACGGCTACAAATGCAGCAAAAATAGAATTTATTTTGTGCTTAAAAATCAGCATTTTCCTTTTTGCAGTTTACTTTCAATCCATTGATAGTTCTAATAGGAACAAAAATATGGAAAATGTCACCCTGTAGTGTGACGAAATACGGTCAACAGTGGTGTAGTATTGCGACACATTCTGGCAACAATGTAAGATATTTTCAAACTAAAGAATTTACAAACAACATCATCGTATTTCTTTTTAAAGATTTATAGATATTTGTAATAATCAACAGATTTGCTTTTTTACTAATTAAACAATTTCAATTAATAATTATTTAAGAATGGAATAACTGTAATTATATGTGCGCATGCGCACAACTTGCGCTGTCAAAAAAATTCGTTAACCCTCCACTTTTCGACGCAGCGGCCAAAAGTAAGTTAGCAGTTCAATAATTGGTAAAGCTCCAAGATCCCGCCAAAAATTGTTGTTATTTATATAAAATTCATCAATAAATTACCTCGTTGCTCATTATATTATTTTATTTGAAGTGATTTCTACTTATTTCATTAGTCATGTCTGGAATTGCTTCTGCTAGATTGGCAGAGGAAAGAAAAGCGTGGAGGAAAGAACATCCATTTGTAAGATTTATCTGTTGATTATGGTACCTTTAGCGTGATTTTCAGGGTTTCGTCGCTCGCCCATCGAAGAATCCGGATGGGACACTGAATCTGATGAACTGGGAGTGCTCGATACCTGGCAAGAAAGGGGTAAGTATCAACTGTACTGAATTAACCTCGATGTAATTGGTCCATTGTTTAGACTCCGTGGGAGGGTGGCAACTACAAACTTCGTATGATTTTCAAAGACGATTATCCCAGCAGTCCTCCGAAGTGCAAATTTGAACCGCCCCTCTTCCATCCGAACGTATATCCTTCTGGTACTGTATGCTTATCGTTGCTAGACGAGGAGAAAGATTGGCGTCCTGCTATTACAATTAAACAAATCCTGCTCGGTATTCAGGACTTATTAAACGAACCTAACGTCAAGGATCCCGCACAAGCTGAGGCTTACACTATCTACTGGTAATCGCCGGCATTTTCAATTGTACTGTCTTAACTTGACATTTCTTACAGTCAAAATCGGTTGGAGTATGAGAAACGCGTTCGTGCCCAAGCACGTGCCATGGGTCAACCTGATCTCGGTTAAATAATTTTTGGTCAATTTGGTGGCGCAGGTTTTAGATATTACTCTTAACAAACATTGATTGGTCCGTGTACTACATTGTAATAGTTTTAAGTTATCTTTCTTTAATTAAATTATATGTATCTAGTAGGGTATTTCCTTGTCACATCTTTATAATAAACGTTCTTAATTGTATTGTTCGTGTTTGGGAGTAATTAATAGGTCACTTATCTACTGAAGATCGGCAATAACACCTATTTGATACAGAACAAATTCTTGACGATAGTATTGAATATTCTTATACAGTGTTTTTTTTATTATTTATCTTGCTGTGAAAAGGACAAGTTATATTTTCAACATAAGACCCTTTTTAATATTAACACATTTTTTATTTTCTAATAACATAGCCTTTGAACAAAAATTCTTGGATATAAGTTTGCAAAATATACTGTCATTGTTAGTAATAAATATACGGTATTATAACTTATTTATTCATTAGCAAAACAACAACTGGCGTTCCCCCTAACGACCCCTTTCTATGTTTCAAATACCTTAAAACCTAATGGCACATCTCCCCTCTTTAATAAACGAAACAAAGGAACTATGGATAAGACTAAACCAAAGAATACTTAATAATTATTGCTGATTAGTGTGCTTAAACTAATTAAACTTCTTCACATAATTAAGCACGCTTTTTAACGGTACGTTGTTTAGGCATACTGGAAGCAAAGAATACTTCACTTTGCTGGAAGTTTCTATATCAGAGTTTGTCTCTATTTTGGGGCGTGTTATATATGCTGTATTCACTGAACAAAAAGGTTGTATAGATTTGTTAATAACTTTTATTGTAACGAGTAACGATTGACAATCATTGACCAATTTACAAAATTACAGAATAACAACTTATATATCTCTATGACAACGTCAGCGCACCCTTATACAATTATTAGAATAGCTTTATAGGTGCCCCCCCCCCTCCCAGTGGGTTCGGGGGTAGAATTGACTCACTCCCGTCCTGGAGATCGTAAGAGGCGGTCAATGGGCACTAAAGGCGACGAGTCCAGCCGCGACCCTTTAGTAACTTACCTAGCCATTTATTTATCCCACTCCAAATTATCCCATTTTCCTTGATTAATGCTGAAGGTATGCTGAAGGTCCCGACCTTTTGTTATGGATTCCGGCGGATGGTCCCGGCCAGTACCGGTCGGGAGCTAGGCGGGGGGGCAGGCCTCACCCGACCGTTATAAAGCGGCTGCTCGTTGCTTGGCGTTGTGGGTAGGTGACCAGGCCCCAACGCATCAGGTACAAACTTCTGGCATATATAGATAGAGAGGGTGGGCTTTTATCCCCGCTCCCTGTAACAGGTAATGAAAACGTACGAGGATAACTATTTTGGATTCTACGCCCCAAAATTAATAAGAAAAAGTGTTTTCCCGAGAAATTTTGGTATAGTCGATTTTTTGTAAAAAGGAAGGTTCTGCACTGCCTTTTTTTGAGCCCCGAAAAAAAAATTGTCTCAGATCGACCCGGAAAAAAAATTTTCTTATTGACTGTGGCCTATAGAATCCATAATTTCAAACAGTTCCAAGATTAGGTTACTAGTTCAAAAGTTACAGCCCTTTGAATTTTCTTTCGAAATTGGTTTCTAGTCTATCTATAACTTTTGATTGAGAAGTCTGATCGAAAAAGTACGAATTGATTTGGATTCTACGCCCCAAAATTAATAAGAAAAAGTGTTTTCCCGAGAAGTATTGGTGTAGTCGATTTTTTGTAAAAAAGGAAAGTTGTACACTGCCTTTTTTTTTGCCCGAAGCAAAAATTGTCTGAGATCGACCCGGTAAAAAATTTTCTTATTGACTGTGGCCTGTAGAATCCATAATTTCAAACAGTTCCAAGATTGGGCTATTAGTTCAAAAGTTACAGCCCTTTGAACTTTCTTTCGAAATTGGTTTCTAGTCTATAACTTTTGATTGAGAAGTCTCATCGAAAAAGTACGAATTGTTTTGGATTCTACGCATCAAAATTAATAAGAAAAAGTGTTTTCCCGAGAAATTTCGGTGCAGTCGATTTTTGGTAAAAAAGGAAGGTTGTACACTCTTCTTTTGAGCCCCGAAAAGAAAATTGTCTCAGATCGACCCGGAAAAAAATTTTCTTATAGAATGTGGCCTGTAGAATCCATAATTTCAAACAGTTCCAAGATTGGGCTACTATAGTTAAAAAGTTACAGGCTACGACGTAGATAAAAATGCTAAAAGACATAAATTGAGGGAATTTTCTCCTTTTTAATTTACAATAGAACCATTTTTTGCGCAAATAGCTTGCTTTGCCAGTTATAAGTTGCAAATCACTTATAAATACCTAACACTAGGTTTAGTGGTTTATTTTGAGGATTTCTGGTAGTTGCGGTGAAATTTTTTATTATTATACGTAATAAATCCCTATTTCCGGAAAAAGTAAGATACGTCGATCGGCATAACAGTTTGGGCGGATGACTCATTTTTTGGAATCAATATGCTAGGTACAAACGTCTTGTGGAGCACATTCAATTCAATGTGTCTACCTAAAAAACGTGCCAACCTTAATATATCCGCCGTTTCCCAAAGCTTTAGTTATAAGAGGAAGACACATTTTTGCCCGGTTTTTAATCAACCCTCTAGCAAGTCTGGAAACGGTCCTTAAAATTGAAATCGCTAAAGGGGGTTTAATCCATACAAGCTTGTATTATTGTATATATATACAGTTTAATAAAAATGCATTGTTTGTTTTTTGGTTAAATTACGATGGCCACCATCCGTGAAATAAGACATAAGTGAAACAAACGAATATGAATGTATAGTACTTGAATTTTGTGTATTATTTTTTCCTATAATATATTTTTCTTTACTCACGTTGGAACACCTAATAACCGAAAAAAACTGGAACCGGAACCCCTAAAACATAATTCTAGTTAAGTAGTGCGGAACCGGAAGCAGAGCTTTAACGTTTTTCAAAATTATTATTTACATCAACCAAGGCGAACAAGATTCCTCAAAGCTCAAAGCTAATTTGCCAAACTCTTTATCATCTGTGATTAACGACTTCAAATTGGTCGCAAAAAATTGCGAAACCTTTCTAAATTTAAAGAAAGCAGTGTTTAAAGTTGCCGAAAATATTGCAGGTTCCGCAAAGAAAATTAAATTTTCAGTGGATTCAAAGAAGTTAATATCAGATATTCCTGATTGCGATCATAGTGATCCCGAGTCAATATAGTTTATTGAATCCGCTGATAAAATTCCAAATATAGACACCTTAAGTTTCATGACCGCCCTCATGATTAAGGTAGATTCCCAAATTGCAGAATGGTGGTCTTCCGTGGCGTCGGATTGGTGCCGGATTAAACAGATGTTATTTAAAAAGTGCATTAATAGCGCAGATATCGCCATGATGTACCACAAGTTTGTTAATCAGGTTCAAAAACAAAATGAAACTTTTCAAGATTTTGCTTCAGATATTAAAATTAAAGCAGCCGCTTTAAATATTAATTATCCGGAAACTCAATTAGTTTCAATTATTTGTGCCCATTGCAACAAATCGACATTTGACTTTTTAAAATAGCTTCCAGAGCACACGATTCTTCAGGAATTAGAAACTACGGTGCAAAGAGTGGGAACTATAGCAAGGAGAGATACATCGTTAACATCTACAATTTCTATAGGTATCTACCCCACATATTGGCAACACTCCTGTTATGAAACCTCAGGTGAATCAAACATTACCTCGTAAATTTTGCAGGTATTGTAATACCTTATAGAAAATTGTTCGTCGTTCGAAGCTAAAACGTAAAAACAATGGGTTTTCAAAAAACTACAAAAATTACAACCCCCGCAATCGAAGATTACTATACATATAAATCTGAATTTTGTTATAAAATTCGTAATTTTAAAGGGAAGAGGAACTTTATCCTTAGATCGCAACGGGAGGGTTTCTTAGGGATCATTTATATATAACCGATTAGCGAAATACAAAAATTTGATGTACAACAAAAATTACAACCCCCACAATCGAAGATTACTATACATATAAATCTGAATTTTCTTATAAAATTCGTAATTTTAAAGGGAAAAGGAACATTATCCTTAGATCGCAACTGGAGGGTTTCTTATAGGGATCATTTATATATAATCGATTAGCGAAATACAAATATTTGATGTAGGTACTACAACAATTACAACCCCCGCCCTGACCCCCGCACTCGAGGATTACTATACATATAAGTCTGAATTTTCTTATAAAATTCGTAATTTTAAAGGGAAGAGGAACTTTATCCTTAGATCGCAATTGGAAAGTTTCTTAGGGATCATTTATATATAATTTTAGTCTCTTCTTCATTTTACAATGGAATGACTTTTTGAAGAAATAGCTTGCTTTGCCAAAGAGTGGAAGCTATAGCAAGGAGAGACACATCGTTAACATCTACAATTTCTATATCTACCCCAAATATTGGCAACACACCTGTTATGAAACCTCAGGTGAATCAAACATTACCTACCTCGTAAATTTTGCAGGTATTGTAAGAGAAATGATCACCTTATAGAAAATTTTTCGAAGCGCGTAAAAACAATGGGTTTTCAAAAAACAAATGAATGTTCCTAGTATGCCATTAATTAATATTGAAATATTTAATGTAAATGTCATAGGATTATTAGATTCAGGCGCAAATCGTAATTTTATGTCAGCAAAATTAGCAAATAGGTTAAATATGGAATGAAACGTAATCTCGATTTTTCTCAGTATCAAATTTCTTTCGGGTTCAAGGAAGGAGTTTCAATTCCGTTCAAATAATTCAAATCTTTTAAACATTATATTGCGAAGTTGAGTAAGTACCTATAAGCTTAATTCCATACAACAACGTACCTAAGCTCTTAGAAATTCAATCTTCATTTTCTGACGTTTTAACAAAGAGAACGGGTGCTGCCAGTAATTTTGAATACGAGATTAAGGCCATTTCGAATCAAGCCCTCTTCCTATTCCAAACCATTCAGTCATATTATCACCCACCACCTTCAGTGCTGACGCGTACAGGTTGATGATCAATCATTTTTCTCTCCAATCCACACACTTTCACAAAATCGAATGCCTTTTCCAGATCTACTAGGCACAAATTGATAGATGTGGGAGTCTTGGAGTTTCCAACTGACTTTGCTTGTTAGAATTGATTATTTGTGAAGTACGAGCCAAGGGTACTTATAATTCACCAGTTCTGGTACAAATCGACGAATTTGCCATTCACGTTGCACTTTGCTCGGGCGCCAATGTTTCTTTTGTGCAATTATAAACTTTTTACAATCTTTATAGTAACTTTGAAAACAATATTTTTGATTTTTAGTCTCTAAATGTACCTAAGTACACTAATAGTGTATGTCGAAGGTATCAAATATGATACATTAGCAAAATAGAACATGGGCTGATAACAACCTGACTCCTGAATATTGGGGATGGAATTAAGGGTCAACTTTTGCAAATTCGGTAATAAATAGACTGGCCATTAAAACGATATAACAGAAAGCTATTGACTCTTGGCCTCCTGCCAAATTTAGACCCTCGGGGCCTTCCGACAACATATTTATTAATTCCACAACGGAACGAAGGGACGAACTTTCGAATCTTTGGAAAATTAACTGAACTGTACATCATTTATCCAGATTAAACCATAAAAATCCATGACGTTTATCCCAAAAGAACCACCGTCTCAGAGTACGTGTTGTTGGGATTAAACCCACGTGCAATACGTCAGGCACGCAGTGATTTATTTTCGGTTGGAACACTATCTTCGTCCAATAAACTATTTGTTAATCCATAAGGATGGTGATAGCCTTGATAGAGCGAGGGTGTGGTGAACAAATTAGATCATTACCGAAAACCTTTCGGCACAATAAGAATAATTGCGTAAAAATGAGTGTAGGTGATTAAAATTGATGTAAAAGAGCAAGTTTATGAATAAAGGTATAACGGACAATGACCTTGGGCTCGCGCCAAAAATAAATTGTGTAGGAATTAATTAATGTACGCAACAAAATGACCTCTTAATAAAATTGATAGAAATCTCAGTAATGCGGTTCCTGATCATAAAGTGAGTGTGTAGCCACCACCGCGCCCAGGAGGAAAAATGTTTGTCATTCCAGATAAATCAATTTTTAGGGACAGTTTATAATCGGTGACTAATTATGTGTAAAGAACCTTTTACTTCTTAAGGTTCTTAAGGTATACCCTCACTGCAAGAAATGTTTAAAGTAGTGGGCAAGTGTGATTGCCTTTAGTATACTAAGACAAGACAGTACGAATTGTACACGCGTTGTTGATGATCGTCCGTTACTTTTACTTTCTTCCGTTCAATTTCGTTGTTCCACTTTTAGAGTGAATTTCCTAAATCGTTCCAGTTACCTTACGTAACTTTTAATTATTTAAGTGTGGCAGGTGAGAAGATTTTTTCCATTAATTCTAATGATTTGCACAAATTTGGATTAATTAAAACGTTGTTACGTAATGGCCAATCGGATTTTTGATAAACTTACGACAAGTGACTGGGAGGAACCGCAATAGTGCCGTTATTCGCGACAAAGGATGCGTAGTGAGACGGAAACATGTCTCTAGGAAACTACACCGCTCCGTATTTTGCTACCCCATCACCTCTAACGACGAACTTGTACCAACCGCAACCGTACCTGTATCCGACACCACAGCACCCTTTTCGCGGTGAAGAAGTTCCTCAGCACCAAGAACCCCTCAGACCGCCCACGTTTACAAAGGTTCAGAACGGTGGCGGCGGTGGAGGAACCACGAGGGTGCACGCCGTTGTGGATTACGACGCTGGCACAGATTACTACGATGAGCCGGTCGATGGGCAACAACCGCACATGCCTGTTACGCCAATACAGGGACCGATTTTTTTGAAAAATGGTACCGTCCCTGTCGTACCCCTGTACTCGTATCCTGTACTTAATAACGGAACATTTGTTCAGATACCGGTAAGTTAGACACGATAATTTATTGATTTCGATTAATCATCCGTCTACCCGATTTCACTATTTTCTTATTTGTCGCCAAAAATATATAAATAATTTAATGGTAAAATTTGAAATTAATAATTTTCTATTCGTGAAAGTTAGCATGAATGAAAATAAGTACTGGTTTGTTTGGTAGGTGTATAATCAAAATAAAAAATAATTAATTAGTCGCCTAATTACACGTTGAAAAAACCTAAGCAATTACGGTGCCATAGCACGTGCACATGAATTACATACCTGCAAGCACAAAAACTGTGATTGCCTTTTGTAGAGCTTCATCGAAACGGTAATTACACGGTCTCGAAAAAACTAGTGTAAAAAGAATGTAAAAGTGTTATGCAACATCTTTCTTTTGCTGTTATATCACTGTTGGTGTAAAAGGTGGAAATATGACTGTATATGACTGGCATCACCATAAAATATCATAAATGACCAAAATAATTAAATAATTAGGTAGATACAACTAGTATTATCGCAATGCCTGATGTGATCTGATTTTTTACCAAATTCTTCATTTTTTACTGTTTTTGGACTTAGTATCCCCTTCAGAAACCGATCCTGTAAGAAATCCAATCGACACGGTTTGCTCGTCTATCCACTCTCCTGCCAAAGGCAGCGTACGTATTATCGACTTCTGATATCCTTTCTCTTGAGCCAATAATCTAAGACCGTTCTTTATGCACCAATTTCGTTTGGAAAAATACTAAACATTTGATCTTGATTTATTCAAACTTTGTGTACTGCGTGGATTAAATCGGCGTCCATTTACGGAACTACAGTGGAATTTTTCATCCAGGAGGGATTAAACTGCAATGGGGGGACGAAAAGTGACAGTAACATTGAGATGTCGGACACAGTTTTGTAATTAATGGTTACCTTCAAATGTTCTTGCACCATATAATAGTCATTGAACCGTTTTTTTCCCTACAATGGTAAAAGGGTTTTGATTAAACCGTTTTACAGATATCTTTCTAGATTTGAGAGGCGTTATCTGGGGCGTTTTCTCTGGATAGCCTTTTGTATAACAGTCCTAAAATTAAACTTACTTTATTATTATATTAATATTCTTATTGTGTTCAACAAAATTTTCCTCCAAATTTGTTGTCGCTCTCAAGTTGGTTTGGGGCAGCAAACTGGGCCATCGGGATTAACACACACCATTTATAGCCTCTTCGTACATAATCCACGTGCTGACAAAGTAAATGCACCCTTACCTGTTTGTCCTAAAGATGGTAAAACCTATGATTGCTTCCTTTCTGCGCCACTGGAAAGTTGTTCAGATTTGGTCCAAATACAACATTAGAACAAATCAGATTTTTTTCTTCAAGAACTTTTTTGAAAAACATTTTCAGTCAAGATACTACAGATATAAACTGAAGTTTTAAAGTGGACCTATGGGCTATGGATTTCAAAAAACGTACATTGTATCGGTGTGTAAAGTTTCGTAATATTTTCCCAGTATTTGAGTATTGTAACTGTTAATTACATTACAAGAGTTGAAATCCTTTGTTTGTAATTAAACATAATTGGTCCTCTATAGCCCTAATAAAAATGTTATAATTAATTTTGACATTAAAGTGACACTTTTTAAAACCCCTTGACGTTGTCAAATGATTTACTTTTCACAACCAGGTGTGAAAAGTAAAATATTTCGCAACTGGTGATGAAAGGTATCACTTTAAATGTCAAAATAAGAAAAAATATTGTGTGGAACACGTTGGGAAACACTACTATCCGTAAGTCGCTTTTTATTGCGGTACTCGCTTCGCTTGTTTCCGCAAAAATCCAATCGTTACGAAAAATAGTGCTTTTCCCAACCCTGTTACACAAATAACTATTACCCACGGCTAGCTCTGTAATAAAATTTAAATGCCCCTTACCTTCAAAACTGACGCCCTGATTTGACTGCAGACGAATAAGTGCAAATTTCAAAATAATAATTGAATGTATTGACAAACTAAAGTCGATCCAGTTCCAGTCCCCTTTACATTTCTTCTGAATTAAAAAAGATCTTAATCATTAGATTTCTTTCCTATAAATAGAGAACGTACCACCCCTATCTCGTGGTCACGGTTCGTCCTATTTTCTCTTCTCTAAATTTGTTTACGCACTAAACTCCTCGCAATGTTTACACAAAATCTTTATATACACCTAGTATAATAATAAATAATATAAACAAATTTATATATATTGTCGTTAGTTTGCGTTAATATTTTCTATCAACAGTTATTATACGGGGCATTCGAGATACCAAAAACATAATACGCAATGCCAAAAGTTGTTTAAACGGGAAACGGAAACGGGGCTTTCTCCCAATCGCTCGCTCGCTCGATTTTTATGTCCAACCAGAATAGAACCACCGCACCGATTGCGATGTAATTGTGCACATGAATTCTTTATCAAATTTATAGATAGGAATTGCACGAATTTCAAAATTAATAGCTGACACCATACAATAGGCGACGCCAAAATTTGGGTTCGATAGATTCAAAATTCACTATGCCTTTTTGACTGCTGGGCCATTTCTGAAAATATTTAAAAGTGAAGGTTGAACCGATTAAGCTGAAATCTATCTATTCAGTGGTGGAGCCAAAATTTCAAACGCAATTTGCGGGTGAAAGGGATGTCGGAATTTGGTACCGGTACCAAACGCAAACTGTGATTCTCGACGATGCTACGAAAGTCAACAAATTAACTTAGTAATTTTTAATTAAAGAAAATGAAGATGTAACATTTCACTTTTCCATTTCCCAAGGGCAAGGAAATGTAATGTGATCGCGATGAAAAATAAATTTGGGATACAACCGGATTTATCCATTTCGCAGTTTGGCAATATTAGAATTCATTTCGACTATTTTTGGCAAAAAACGAAAGTTGGAAACTGTTGGTTTCAACAAGATAGTGCACTCGGGGATATAAAAGATGTAACCCAACTTTTGGCATTACGCATTATATGTTTTTGGTATCTTGAACGCCCTGTGTAATGACTGTTGATATAACATATCAACACAAACAAACTACAATATATTTTTTTTAGAGAATCTTGTATCCCGCACCTTTATACCGCACCCTTATGTCCTCGCACCCTTATGTCCACGCGCTCATATGTCTCGCGCCTTAACGGCCGCGTCCATTTTGGGCGATTTTGTAATAAATTTAGGTCATCTCTCGACCACATTTTCCAAAAATCTTGCCCCAATTTGGAGTAATGCTGCCAAATAAGCAGCAATTCTGCTATGTCTTTTCCGGAAATGATAAGATAATGGTTGGGTTATTAGGAACGTTAAACAAATCAAATCGGGAATCGAATCGACATAAACTGTAGCGGCTTTGAATTCAGGGTTGCTTCTATTTCGGTGAGTACAGTACATAAAACTTCAAATGAGAACACTGAATTTCCGATCACCCTTTTTAGGTGGAATTTGGTACTTTTTATGCCAGCTTCCCACAATCCGCCCTGCCCCGCCGAGAAACAAAACGTTAAAGAAATTAAATGATACCACCAGAAATTAAAAGAATGATTGCAGAGAAGACACGTGCTAGAGCAAATTGGCAACGTAGTCACCTGGGTAGTCAAACACTCGCCTATAAAAATGTGTACAATCAGTTAAAACCAAAACTTAGAGAAGTAAGAAATGAAAAATTTGAAGAATATATATCTAAACTGATAATTCTATATGGAAATTAATCAAAAACTCCAGGAAGCCTAAACTAAATGTACCACCAATAAGAAACAAGTAGAAATTGTACACAACCCTTGTGCAGATAAAGCGCATTTTTTTTAACCGCAATAGCTTTTGTTTTGACATCACCAATGGATATATTTCTTGCAGACTCAATCGCCCTCTTCTGACAATCGGTTCTTGAGGTATATCCCTCAAATAGCGTCAGATTATATTCATATTCACTTGTTTGAACTACAACAATGGCCAAACAAATGGAAAATTAAAGTGAATGAGAACAAATCGGTGCATGTAACATTTGTCCTCCGTAAACAATTATGTCCAGCAGATAATGTGCAGATACCACCAATACTCTTCGTATTGCCCTAAATCCCCACCACCTTGATTGATTGATCTGAATTCAATCGTATAGAAATTGTAGTTTTATTTCATTTTAAAATTCAACTTTGTTCATGGTGGCTACCATAAGCAATGATCAACTTTCCCATAAAGGTGATGTCCCTAAAACAACGTGCAGATTCGTCGAGGAAGAGAGGTTTATTCATTGATCAGTCTAAGCAACCCAATTTCGCAACCATACAAAATGAAACCGTATAATTAGCAGTCAGTTTTCTGCAAATTGTAACAAATTTTTCGCAATCGGTAATCTGGCAAAAAAAATTAATTAAGAAAGTCTCAAGGTGCCGACCGTAGCGTACCGAACTTAGTATAATAATTATAACAGAAATGCCGAAGTTATAGTTATATGTAAATTACAAAGTCACGAATCTTATTTACTACTTAATTAAGCCACGCACGATTTTTAAATTAATATTATGGACTGATAATCGGTACCTACAGGTTCTTTCCTTTTTGCTAATGGATTACTTCCTGCTGGAAAAGGAGTATCTTCTTTTTCATTGATTTCACCAAGAATTACCATTCCGTAGAACAACGGTCTTTGAGGGAGGACTGAAATTCGATGGCACAGAAACAAGCCTACCGCTGAAGGAAGGACCAGCAATCCTGTTGAAACATACTCGTGTAGGAAGGACTGCACAGTAAACTGAGTCGTCTCTATACTGATACAGAACATCCACCCGTAATGCGGTCCTTTACATCGCTAGATTTCCTGTGTGGACTGTCAACCCCGCATAAAACCCGACCCTTGGATATAGTTATAATTCATTTTGGAAGAAGAAATGCTTAGAAATTCAATTTGCATGAAGTGACTTTTCGAAAATTGAGGAAGGCGCTTTACGACGTCCCTCTAGGCCCTAGACAAGGTTTTGAATGTGC